GGAGTGTGTAGCAACCCTTTACATCTCACATGATGGAGCGGCTGAAGATCGGAAAAAAGAAGCGTACGGGTTGACGGCAGGGACTTGCCGGGCGGGCAGCAGGGTGGGTGTCGCTGATTGGAATATTAGGGTGGGAAAAAACTACTACTATTTATCTCGCAAAAAATGGATGGCCTCAACAAAAAATGGCATCTTACGCGTAAGAGACGTCCGCCTCGTCTTGTGGAGGCCAGTCGGCGACTCCGCGCTTCGCCTTGTGGAGGTGTGACGAGACCGCCACGGCGGTGATGGGTTTCCACTTGATGACGGAAACGTCTGCTGATTTCAGGGGCGTACCCGCCTGGCTTGATGACGGATCGGTAGCCCTCCTTGGTCGCGGGCTCGCTAGCCCCAACGGTTTCAGAGCCATGCGTGGCAGCGGACTCGCTAGCTCCGACGCTTTCGGAGCCCTCTGTGGCAGCGGACTCGCTAGCTCCGACGCTTTCGGAGCCCTGCGTGGCAGCGGACTCGCTAGCTCCGACGCTTTCGGAGCCCTGCGTGGCAGCGGACTCGCTAGCTCCGACGCTTTCGGAGCCCTCTGTGGCAACGGACTCGCTAGACCCATCGGTTTCGCAGCCCTCTGCGGCCGGGGACTCGCCACGGTAAGTTCCGCGAAGGCAGCAAGGGCGGGTGAGGTAAGGGCGGATGCAGGGGCATTATGGGTCCTCTTGTGGGGTTCACGGTGAGTTTTCTTGTTCTTGTGGGGGATGGGTTCCTGGGGAATGTTCTCTTGGGACGTCCGATGGTGGATGGACTCCTGAGATTTGGTCTTATGGGATTTGGTCTTATGGGATGTGGTCTTGCGGGGGGTCTTCTCTGGGGGAATCGTCTGGTGGGATTTCGTCTTATGGTGGTGGGATCTATGATGGGCCCTTTCATGAGATGTCGTCTCCTGAAAGAAGGTCTCCTGGGGCGCCCTTGGTGGCACCACGTGCATCAGTCGGGTCGAGGGGGTACGTGGACGCAGTGCCGAATGAGGTCCGGCTTGTGAGGTCGGGGCATCGTCATCTTTCCGTACTCTAACAGGGACTGGACTCATGGGGTTTTCTTCGGTTGCGGACCTTCCCAGCCGCCTGGAGAGGGGTGTGGGGGGTTGTACCTCGTTGCCGTTGGGGGTGGTCGGTGGTTGGTCGAGCGGCTTGGCCTTGGGGGCGCTCTTCGATCTGTGAAGTCTCCTGGGTGCCGGAATCGGGGCCTCCGTCAAGTCGGTAACCGACCTGGAGGCTGCCTTGCTTTCCTTCGACTCAGCATGGGACTGAGACCGCTTGGACGGTCCACTTGGAGGACGCGGCTCGGACTTAGACATCGCAGATTTGCACCGGACGGGTTTTGAGCGGCCATGTTTGGACATGGCGGCTTCTTGTAGAATGGTATGTCTTGAGGACATCTGCGGGGTGGACGCCACGCTAGACGTCGTGCTCGAGATTGTGCTGGAGCTCCTGCTGATGTTCACGTAGGAGCCTGAGGCGCGGGTGCTGCGGCCTAGTCTCGGCGAAGCCGTGACCAAGTTAGTCAGCGAGCGAATGAGTTTGTTGCCCGCCTTACTCCTGCCGGATGAGGACCGCCACTGGCCGCGGACGGGTACAACAGCGGGCAGGTCCGGCTTCCCAGTGTCCGCGGCACAGCTCAGAGACCTCGCCGGAGCACGGTTCATCGCCCCCGGAAGGAAGAGCGAAGGGTCATGTCGCGGGGGCAACACCCAGGTGGAAGCAGTCTCCCAGGCTCCACCCGGCCAGTGGTCCGCGGATCTTTGTGCCGCCGGCTCAGTGTCGATCTCGTCGTCGGTCGTGTCGCCCGAATGTTCGGTCGTAAAGCGCACTTCCGCACGTGTCACGGCCTTGAGTTTCTCAAAGTAATGTCGTGTGCGTTTCTCAGCTTCCTGACGCACGCTGCCTAGTTCAACGTTGCCCACAGGGCTTTTGTGGCTGCGGCGCTCGAGCTGTGGGCACCACGGCACGACGATCGGTCTTAGACCCTCGCGTATCTTCAGGAAGCTTTTGCGGAATCCCATGTACACGTAGACCTGGTCATCGTTGGCAATATACCAACCCTTGTCCCCTAGGATGCTTAGCACCTCTTTCTCCACCTCCTTCAACTCTTCCACAGGCAGCACACAGTTCTCCACCAAATTCCGCAGCTTCACAACGTTTATTTCCGGGATAGCATATGTCTTCTTTGGGTCCGGTCCAGACAGGTGGCAAGTACGTTGGGCGAACATCTTGCCAGCAAAATCGTTCCATGCCCAACAATGATCCTTGTCTTCGACCAGGTCGCTCTTGCAACTAACCACCCCCCACTTTTCAGTCGCGAAACACTCCGACGACGCCAGGGGTACCATCGCCCCATCCGGGCCTTCTACCATCAACCGAGACTCCACGATCTTCAGCTTCGGCTTCCCCTTAACGCACATAAGCCCCGACAAAGAACTAGGCGAACCCAAACCACTCGACTCGAACACCGCGGCACCCGACTGAAGCGGAAGCGACAAAGGCCCTTCCAGCACACCCAAGCACACCCAAACCTGCCACACCGGCTCCCGGCAACTGGAAGCACTTTTCATACCCAAAAATTATGCGACGATATTCATCCTGTCTGGTAGAACTGTCTGCTAGAAATGAAGCACACACTGGTGTGCCATAATGAATGCTGGAAAACAGCCCACCAACGCTGAGATCGTCGTCCAAGTCGCGGAACAGGTCAGGAGTGTGTGGCCACGTTGCCCTCTCTCCCTGAAATAATAAAAACCCGGTTGTCGGCCCGCCATTGAGCTGCTGTGTCTCGACACGCCACGCACACCGTTCAAATGCATCACGACGTAATATGAGTCAACCTTTTTTATTTTTTTAAATTGGTGAGATATTGAGTAGGAAGCGCCCCGAGTCACGCAGTGCTTGATTGGTGATTTATGAAACCGGGAGCCAAAACCATTTGGGCGACTCACGGTGCGCGCACAAAAGTGTGTGCGCACAGGGAAAATGTTTCACCCACGTCCATGATCTAGAAAGCAAACTACTGTTTCTGTTGCTTGAATATTTGAGTTCAATTTCGAAGGGTAATTATTTTTGAGATAATTGGTTATGCCTGATATAAGTTTGTATTACTTCGATGCGGTCGGTTTTGGTGAAGCTGTGCGTCTTGCGTTCCATATTGGAGGTGTCCCGTTTGAAGACGTGCGATTTAGTCGTGACCAGTGGGTAAATGAATTTAAGGCGAAGGCTCCCAGTGGGAAGTGCCCTTGGCTTGAGTTTAAAGACGGTGGCTTTATCACTGAGAGCAAAGCGATCTTGGTCTATGCAGCTGGTAGATCAGGACTTGTCCCTTTTGATCTACTTGAGTTGGCCGTGTGTGAGCAAGCCTACAACGTTGCTCTGGACGCCTACTCGGTAATGCGCTGCCTAATCCACGACCGAGGGGATAGGGAGGAGAATCTGAAGGACCTGAGGACCCGCCTACTGGCTGCGGACAAAGTGTTGGGAAGCCGACAGTCCAAGGGAGAGGCCTGGGTGAATGGGAAGTCAATGACCTACGCGGACTTAGGGATATTTGGCTTTTTCAAAAACGCCGTTGACAGACTTCCCGACACCAATGTTCAACAATATACTCATCTCTACCAAGTCTACGAAGCTGTGCTGCACCACCCTCGAGTAAAAGACTACTACGCCTCCAGAACGCAGTAATGCCAGGACGCAGTAACACCAGGCAGGGCTTAGTGGTGTCAGGGCTCAGCCCTGTCGAGTTTTTCAGTGTCGACACGCTCTCTCCTTGAGGGAGAGAATAATTCATGCTCTCACAATGTCTCGCCAGCGGCCGTAAGAGTCTCTTATAGCAATGATGAGGGGGTTAGGGGTCTGACGCAATTGCGCGTTTAACATCGTTTCGCGCCTGCTGACATACGAGTGTGCGGAAAATTAAGAAAGAGAAAACCTTCAAGTGCCAGTAGCCTTCAAGTGCCAGTAGCCTTCAAGTGCCAGTAGCCTTCAAGTGCCTGCCTGATGAGAGTCAAGAGCTTCTTGTTGTGGTCTCCGGTGCTGGCGAAGCACTATGTAGTGAGCAACCCGGCGGAGTTGAGTGTGTGTCACATTCTTCAGTTCCGGATCGGATTGACAAAGTTCGCGTCTTTGTTGTTCAACGGAGACACGTTGATGGGGAACATGCAGTCTTTGCACGAGGCGTTGCAGGTGCCAGAGACGTGGGAGCGTGTGAATTCACTAAGTACGCCTCCCAAGAGCGCTTCGCTTCTGGCGGAACAGGGCCGCTCGGGACATTGTGCCGAGATCGACGAAATGGTAGAGTCGCTGGCGACCCGCGGTGGGGAGGTGTTGACCGGCGGCGACCCGTCTGCGATGCTAACGCAGTTACCGGCTCTGATTGACAGTCACTTGGCCATCCTCAACGCGACCGCTCTCGGGATCGACCACGACGTCTTGCGTGCCAAATTTATCCACAGCTCGGTCGCGACGCCGTTAGCTGTGGTCATCCCTTCCTGTACCACGCTGCCCTTTGGTGAGCTCGACGCAGACGGGGACCTGCAGTCCGAAGAGTCCTTCCTGTACAACTGGAACACGGCCATGAAGCTCCACGGAAAAGAAATCTTCTCCGATTTCATACATCGTCTCCAACAGTGCAACGGCTGCTTTGAAGACCTCCTCTCTAAAGTTGCTCAGGAAGCAGACGTATCCATCGACCGAGAGAAGACCGCTTCGCTCAGCGTCCAAGGACTCACCGCCCTCCGTAGTGCCCTCGAGGCAAACAACTTCGAGGACGTACCCCCCACAACCGGCGGCGTAATCGGCTTCATGATTGCACACATCCTCGAGGTAACACAAGGTCGGGTCAATCCCGCTGCACTCTCCAAAGCTGCTGAAGACCTCATCGCCATGCTCAGCGCACTCAACGAAGAGGTCATCAATGGACCGAGAGTCGTGCTCCCCGCTTATGAAGAATTCTATCATGCCATGGGGTGCTGATATCAGTATATTTTTACACCATGTTTACCAAGCAAATGTCTTCCAAACACTCGTCGTTAAAAATTGATGCGAAACTCATTACGGGGAGTTCTTCAGTCTCACCCCACGGCTCGTCTAACCTCCACAGACGAGGCACCCCACCCGGCAAGTTCAACACAACGTCTCCGAGGCTGCTCTGACTGAACGAGAACTCCTCGCTAGACGAGAGCTCCTCGATGGACGAGAGTTCCTCATTGGGCGAGAGTTCCTCATTGGACGAGAGTTCATCACTGCATGAACACTCTTTGCTGAACGAAGACTCTTCGCTGCTGCAGTCGTTATGACCGCCCAAATCTTCCTGGCTCGACGGACAACTCTCCTCCAACCCGGCAATTCGCGGCGTACTGTTTCTCCGGGACTGCACACACGAACTCGGGGACTGGGTCTCAGTCGAACTCGGCTTGCGTTCTTCAGCATCTCTGGGAGAGCCGAAAGAGCGCCCCTGACTAGAACGGTGCCGAGACGCCCCGGACCGCGAGCGCTTGCCGTAGGCCGGACCAGCAGGAGAAGGGACGAAACCCCCACGAGAGTGAGGTGATATCTGGTAGCGATAACGGTCGGCAACAGAACCGAAACACCGTCCTCGTTTGACAGATAGTCCCCGTTTGAGTTCTCGTTTAGAACACAGTCCTGCTTTGGAACGCAGTCCTCGTTTTGAAGACAGTTCTTTCCTGGACGATTGTAAAAGAGATAGCCTGGCGCGCGATCTGGCAGACCTGCGGGTGTGGGCAGGCGCACTTCGCGGGACCACCTTCCCCATCACACGACTGCCCGAGAAAACCCCAGATCTAGCTGACCGTCTACACGGGGATATTCTGGGGGAGGAGGAGCGCATTCTGTCGTGGTGGAGAGAGGGCGACGAGCGAAGCATGATCACTGCCTCGTCGTGGACGACCTTCGGGCAGTACCGAGGCGAAGGTACCAGAAGGATTGAGGCGCGCTTCTCGTCTTCTTCCGGAACGACCGAGACACGCGGCCTCCGTAGGCATCCCCCGGAAGCCGGAACGAGGACTCCACTCACTTGGCGGCGGATGCCTGGCCGCGGCACGAACAGTCTTCGCACAGTCGCGGGGTCCATTTGCGATAGCAAAGACGCCCCACTGGAAGAAGCACCTGTTAACGCGGTCGTCCCCGTCCGTAAGACATCAGGACTGGAGCGCGGACCGACCGCGTTTTCTTCCATGCTCTTCTTCCTTCCCGACGAGAGAGCCACGTCAAAAGCTGGCGAGGGCCGCCCAGCTTTTACATTGAATTGAGAACCTGTTATCTGTAAAGGGTAAGGACCCGGAGCAGAAGAAAGGTACTGGTACCGCCGGAGCAAAATCTTCCTTTTCCCTTCCTTCAACTCGAGCGCCTTCATTGACGGCCCATCCCCTACCTCCGGCCTCGGCATATACGTCTCCCCGGCCGAGGACAGGCCGGCCGAGGACAGGCCGGCCGAGGACGGGTCGGCCGAGGACGGGTCGGGACCGCTAGCGGGTCCACGCGACGAAGCTTTCGTTGAGTACGATCCACTGCCGATGTCTTGGACCTTATCGGCCCCCTCCGCTCTCGCCGAGACGTCGGAAGCCGGGTTCAACCAGGCGGGCACCGTCAGATTAATCACGCTGCTCTCGGGCAACTGAAAGAGAAACGGTTTCTGATCTTTTTGCGTCTCCTTTTCTTCTGCTTCGGCTATCTCTAACTGCTCCCGGATCTGTTGTCGCCTAAATTCATACTCCTTTCTCCGCTCTTTTATTGACTCGACGATCAACAACGAAAAATAACCTAGCAACGATACCAGTAGTAAAATTGCTTGTGTAATACCAGCATTGGTCCCTGATGCATTCGGCTCAGGCTCCTGCCCAAGGAAGGAGGCAATCATCTGCACTCAAAATTTTGTTAAAAATGGCGGAACGCAGCGCATTAGCTTCGTCGTCACTAACCGCAAGCTTGTCGAGCACCATCACCAACTCCAGACGCACATCTGCATCTGAAATGGTGTCACCCCGGTCTTGGTAAGTCGGCAGATTTATATTAGATTTCTGAGAGAATAATCGCACGGGTGTGCGCACACGGGTGTGCGCAGATTATGGGGTAGTGCGGGGAACTGTTCTGTTACGTGAAAGCTTAGTCCTTGGAGGATTTGGTCTTTGGCAGCCACAAATGGACCATACTCCCGGAAATGGTGGCAATTTGTGATTTCATTCAATTGCGAATGCACCCTTTGTAATCTATTCACTTGGCGGAGGAGAGGAACGAGATGAACTTCTCTCCCTGCAGCAACGTCAACCAACTGCCCACTGAGCCCTTTCAAAACTGAATTGGTCAGCTGTTTCAGTACCGTGACTAGGGTAGTGACGGTGTTGGCTGTCGCTGGTGACATTCCTTAGCCACTCCCCCCTTCGAATATTTAGTGGTGTCGGATATTCAGCGGCGCCCAATATTTAGCGGTGCCAAAATAGGTTGCTGAGAGAGGCTGAAGTCTAATGCATGGAAAAAGTTTACTCGAGGAGGATGCCATCGTACTTGTTACGGAACCATTGTTGGGCTTCGTCCGTGGTAACTCGGTGTTTGTTGCCGACCTTGCTTTGGCGGCGGTGGCGGCGGGATACCCGCAGACCGGGGCGGGCCAAGTGCACCACGAAGTTAAGACCGTAGATACCTACGGACGGGTCGTACTTGATACCCAGGTCAATGTGCTCGGAAATACCGAAGCCGAAGGTGCCGGTGCTGGAGAAGCAAGACTTCTTCAACTCGAACTCCTTGACCTTAAGACCCAACTCCAGCAACTCAGCAGCCTTCTGGCCACGGACAGTCACATGGGCGGCAATCTTGTCGTTACGACGGATCCCGAACGAACGGATGGTCAACCGAGCCTTCGAGAGGACCGGCTTCTGGCCACTCAGCTGTTCCAACACACGGGCAGCACGGGTCAAACGATCACCGGGCTACAAAAGGGAACGATAACTACATCATGCCACAAGGATGCCTGGTGCTCGGAAGCGTTGTCAGCACTGGTAGAATATGTAAACTTCGCAGGATACATGGTGAGTATTATCGGACACAGTTCAATGTGTGCGCACACACGTGTTTGCACGCGCGTGATGTGTTTATTACCTCGCCGACGCATATGTCAAGAACAACCTTCTCAATTCGGATCTCCCTCATGGGGTTCTCTGCCTTCTTCCCTTCAGCTGCCATGGCGGTACGGCGTTTTCAGCAAAGTTGGGAGGCAAAAAAAAACTTCCCCGTCATGTCTTGGGCCGGGGCGAGTGTGCGCCCGAGACTCAGTGCTCACTGTACCCAAGCACGACAGGAATGAGGCGGACTGGGGAAAGAACACAAGCGGGGCACGGCTGTAGTGCAACTTGCGGGGCCGGCTTTTTTGGTTAATTTCGGTGGTGATAATGGGCAGTGACTCTGAGTGCGAAGACTGGGAGGATACATCATCCGAGTCGGAAGTGTTGGAGGACGAATCACCTCAGACTAGGAAAGACGTGTCTAGGGAAAGACAAGGAGCCAAGCAAGCTGATGTGTCCAAACAAGTTAATGCATTTAGGCAGGCCGGTGCTTCCAAGCAAGCTGCTGTGGTAGGTAAGCAGTCTGCCTTACCGAAGCAAGCGGCAGCAAAGCAGAAGGGTGGGAAGAAGTCCGCCCCGATTGACTATTCGGACCAGAAGTTTCGTTCTCCCATCCTTTGTATCATGGGGCACGTAGACACGGGAAAAACCAAATTGCTGGACAAGATTCGGCGCACCAACGTGGGGGAGAAGGAGGCAGGTGGTATTACGCAGCAGATTGGCGCTACCTTCTTTCCTCGCGAGTCCTTGCTGACGCAATGCCACAAAATTGACCGTAAGTTGAACTTGCAGGTGCCGGGGTTGTTAATCATTGATACCCCGGGTCACGCATCCTTCAGTAACCTGCGTAAGCGAGGTTCCAGTCTGTGCGATTTGGCGATATTGGTCGTCGACATTATGCACGGCTTGGAGCCGCAAACGCGTGAGAGTATTCAAATGTTGAAGCAGCGACGGTGCCCCTTTGTGGTTGCATTGAACAAGGTGGATCGTATTTACGGCTGGATGTCGGATGAGTGGGCACCTTTCATGAAGACTATAAAGGCTCAGAAAAAGAGCGTGACCGAGTTATTTAGGGACCGCGCACGCGCGTGTGTGCTGGAACTGATAGAGACGGAGGGTCTGAATTTTGCGTTGTACACGGAGAATCAGGACCCAAAAAAGACAATACAGGTGGTGCCCACGTCAGCAGTGACAGGGGAAGGTATTCCCGACTTGTTGTGTACGGTGGTTAAGCTCACTCAGACGCTGATGGCTCAGAAAATCACTTTGGATGAAGAGAACGTTGAGTGCTCCGTGCTCGAAGTGAAAACAGTGGAGGGCTTGGGTACCACCATTGACGTAATCCTCGTGGGTGGGGCGCTGAGCGAGGGAGACACCATCGTCGTATGTGGGATGAATGAAGCTATAGTAACCCAAATCCGTACTCTTCTGACGCCCCATCCGATGAAGGAGCTGCGAGTGAAAGGCGAATATCTGAGACACAAGCGGATCTGCGCGGCAATGGGCCTGAAAATCGCGGCGCCCAACCTGGAAGGGGCTGTGGCGGGCACGATGATTAAGGTGGTGAGGAACCCAAAGGATGAGGATCTGATTGAGGAGCTCAAGGATGAAGTGCAACAAGATATGAGCGGCATCTTCAAGGCTATCGACAAAACGAGTGACGGTGTACATGTCGTGGCCAGCACGCTCGGATCGCTCGAGGCTTTGCTGGATTTCCTCAAAGAAAGCAACATCCCCGTCAACGGCATCAGCATCGGCACTGTACACAAAATCGCCGTCTTGCAAGCTAACACGATGAATGAGCGAGGTTGCAATGAATACGCTGCCATCCTCGCATTCGACGTGAAAGTCGATTCCGAAGCAGAAAAGGCCGCCAAGGAACATGACGTCAAGATCTTCTGTGCGGACATCATTTACCATCTTTTCGACATGTTCACGAAACACATTCAGGACTACCGCGAGGAGCAGAAAAGAAGCAAGTCCAAGGAAGCCATTTTCCCCTGTATGCTACGCATCCTCCCCAATTGCATCTATAACAAGAAGGCTCCCCTCGTATTTGGCGTCAAAGTAGAGGACGGTCTCCTCCGTGTCGGCACGCCTCTCATCGTGCCAGACCGAGAATGCAAAATCGGTTCCGTCGAGTCGATTGAACTCGAACAAAAACCTGTAGACAGTGCCCGGAAAGGGCAGGAGGTCTGTATCAAGGTTACTGGCGATCAGAACGTCACCTTTGGCAGACACTTCGACGAGAAAAGTAGGATTGTCTCAAACATCTCGCGAGCATCAATCAATGTTATGAAAACACACTTCAGAGATGAGCTAACTGAAGTAAACCACACCACGGGCACACCACGGGCACACCACGGGCACGCCACACAGGAATGGGTTCATACATGTCACCTGGCTTCGGAAGCCGACACTTTGACATTGGTCCGACACGCACGGAGTTGGGTTTCTGGAGTTGGCGCACTTGTCGGGGACAGTCGGGATAGGGACCGGCACCCGGGGGCTGCACTGCGCGTGGGTACAGTGGGGCACAAAGTGGGGCACACACTTGGTTGGGCGGGGGCAAAGAGTGGTGGGCACAGAGAGGGGGTTGATATGTCCCAATTTTTCCAGCACGCGAAACTGGTGGTTCACCTGAAGAAGGTTTTGGGAATAGTCTGAGGACTGCTCTCTTTTTTTTAACCTAATTAGACTAGAATTGTGATGTTCACCTTCGAGGCCTTTGAGAATAGTATGTACCAAATTGAGGAGGACTGGAGCACAGCGGCCGTAACGCGACTGAAGGGAGAGGACGACCTTGGCGCCAGCAGGACTAACGAAACCTTTTCTGGCTCGGGCAGCAGCACAGAGATCGTGGTTTACGACCACTGGCTCTACGACAGTTTGACTGGGGGAAATCCTAACGGCGGAAATCCAGCTCTTGGGACGGGTACCGCGGGTCACCCACAAATCACGTCAACCAGCGCCGTGCTCCGGCGCGCCCCACCCCCCACCGGACCGCCTCA